GAACTATGCCCTGTGGTTAATGGAAAGTTCTCACGCTTCAGGATGCCACCATGCTACAATGTTTTTCTCAGTTTGCTTCTCATTCCGGGCTGTCTTGGAGCTCTTTGACCATTATGATGGTCTGCGTCGCCTAGTGAACTTGATCAGTACTTTGGAGATGTTAAATATGGAAGAGCAGCGTGCACATGTGAGTGATGATAAAATCCTTGCTACTTGCCAAAGAGGCAAACATACCTGCATGGCTCTGCGAAAGTATTTTGAGGCTCACTTGGCCATTAAACTGGAGCAAGTCAAGCAGTCACTTCAGAGGACTGAGGGTGGTATTCTTGTGCACCCTCAACCTCCATACAAGGCATGCTCATACACTCGTGGGCAGATTGTGGAAATGATGGAGTTTTTGATAGAATATGGCCCAGCTCAGCTGTATTGGGAACCTGCTGAAGTCTTCCTCAAGCTTTCCTGTGTGCAGCTCTTGTTGCAGCTTATTTCCATTGCCTGCAATTGGAAGACATACTATGCAAGGAATGACACTGTGCGCTTTGCTTTGGATATCCTGGCTATCCTCACTGTGGTGCCAAAAATCCAGCTCCAATTGGCAGAGTCGGTAAAGGTCTTGGATGAGCATGGCTCTACTGTATCCACTGTAGGTATCAGCATTATTTTGGGAGTGGCTGAAGGTGAGTACTTTATCCATGATGGTGAAATTCAGAAGTCAGCCCTTCAAGTAATCATCAATTGTGTATGTGGCCCAGATAACCGAATATCCAGTATTGGTAAATTTACCTCTGGAACTCCTCAGAGAATGCTGTTTCAGACCCCCAAGAGCAGTGAGCATACCCTGGCCAAGATGTGGAATGTGGTCCAGTGCAACGATGGCATCAAGGTGCTTCTGTCCCTATTGTCCATCAAGATGCCCATCACAGATGCAGACCAGATCAGGGCCCTGGCCTGCAAGGCCCTAGTGGGCTTGTCTCAAAGTAGCACTGTTGGACAGATTATCAGCAAATTGCCCCTTTTTAGTAGCTGCCAGATTCAACAGCTGATGAAGGAGCCAGTGCTGCAGGACAAGCTTAGCAACCATGTCAAGTTCTGCAACTACGCAGCTGAGCTCATTGAGCAGGTATCAGGAAAGCCTCTTCTGCTTGGCACTGATGTGTCACTGGCCCAACTACAGAAAGCAGGTATTGTTGCCCAGTCAAGGATCTCCTTCCCTGAGAAAGAACTGCTCCTGTTGATAAGAAACCATCTCATTTCTAAAGGGCTTGGAGAGACAGCCACCATGCTGACCAGAGAGGCAGACTTGCTCATGACTGCAGCCTCACATTCTTCTGCCTTCACCCCAGTGACTGCTCATGCGTCTCCTGTCTCTCTTCCCCGGACTCCTGAGATTGTCAATGGCATTGTTGGTCAACTGGGCAGTCATGCTGGTGGGGGTGCTTCTGTTCCTTCTGCCCTCCCTGCTCCCCCTGCTGATCCTCTGCCCTGCCCACGCCCAGGGTTCACTGGCTTTTCCTGGGCCATCATATGAAGGCAATTCCCCTTTGATTGGCAGGATCAGTCTTATGAGAGAGAGACCATCACTGTGCAATGGCAGCAAAGTTCAAGTGTTGCAGCAGGAGTCTGACCACGACACACACAGCCAGAGCCCTGCTGACAAAACACAATTGGATAGACATCTTCCTTCTCCACCAACACTGGACAGTATCATCACAGAGCATCTTAGGGAGCAACATGCTCGCTGCAAGAACCCCATTGCCACCTGTCCACCTTTTTCTCTCTTTACCCCTCATCAGTGTCCTGAGCCAAAACAGAGGAGGCAAGCGCCAAGAAACTTTACCTCAAGGGTAAACCGCAGAGCATTGTTTCCAAAATATGGAGGAGTAGATGGCGGATGCCTTGATAGGCACCTTATCTTCAGCAGATTTCGTCCAATTTCCGTGTTCCGGGAATCTCATGAATATGAGAGTGGCTTTACGTGTTGTGCATTTTCTGCCCGGGAGAGGTTCCTGATGCTTGGTACCTATTCAGGGCAGCTGAAGCTCTACAATGTATTTAGTGGACTGGAAGAGGCCAGCTATAACTGTCACAACTCAGCCATCACACGCCTTGAACCTTCCAGGGATGGGTCCTTACTTCTGACATCTGCCACTTGGAACCAGCCCTTGTCTGCACTTTGGGGGATGAGGTCAGTATTTGATAGGAAGCATTCCTTCACAGAAGATCATCATGTTGAGTTCAGTAAGTACTCTCAGGATCAGGTCATAGGCACCAAAGGAGACATTGCCCATATTTATGACATTGAGACTGGCACCAAGCTGTTGACTCTGTTTAACCCAGATCTTGCCAACAACTACACGAGGAACTGTGCCACCTTTAATCCTACAGATGATCTTGTCTTAAATGATGGGGTCCTCTGGGATGTCCGCTCTGCACAGGCCATCCACAAGTTTGACAAGTTCAACAAGAATATCAGTGGTGTTTTCCACCCCAATGGGCTGGAGGTCATCATCAACACAGAGATTTGGGACCTTCGAACTTTCCATCTTTTATACACAGTTCCTGCTCTGGATCAATGTCATGTGGTGTTTAACCACACAGGGACAGTGATGTATGGAGCAAGGTTGCAGGCAGATGATGAAGATGACTTCTTGGAAGAGAGGATGAGGAGCCCCTTTGGGTCATCCTTCCGAACATTTAATGCAACTGATTACAAACCCATAGCAACGATTGATGTGAAACGGAACATCTTTGACCTGTGTACAGACACCAGAGATAGCTATCTTGCTGTCATTGAGAATCAAGGCAGTATGGATGCCCCTGACATGGACACAGTATGCAGGCTTTATGAAGTGGGCAGGCAGCGTCTGGCAGAGGAAGAAGATGAAGAGGAGGACTCTGAAGAGGAAGAACTGGAGGAAGATGATGAGTATGAATACCATGATGATCATGATAATAATGATGATGACACTGATGATGGAGAGGAACTTGACACTGACAGGCAGCTGGAGGCAGAAATGGAGGAGGCTGACAACAGTGAGAACTCAGGACAGGATGGGGACAATGCCTTCTCTCCCTCTGATGAGGAGCTAGCAAGCCTAGAGGAGGGAGAGGAGGGGCAATTTGAAGACGCTGATGCAGAGCAGGAACTGGAAGTGATCCTGGTGGAGGACAGCTCAGACAACTCTGATTTGGAAGATGACATCATCTTATCTCTGAATGAGTGACTTGCCAGTCCCCACTTGGAAGAGAATCTTGGCAGGTGAGAGAAACTGAGTGAATGGATTCAGAAAACCTGCCTTTTGCTGACCCCTGGGATATGTGTTGAGGAACTGTATTCCCTGCATTGGAGAACTATGATTTAGAGTCTCCTGGAATCTGAGGGCCCTTTTGAAAGCAATAACAAACACAAAATAAATAAATTACTAAGAAAGATTGCAGGGACTACTTCCTAGTTTGCATCCCCTCCACCTAGGATGGACACAGCTTTCCCCAAGGGAACAAACTTACATGTCTCTGGGTATTTCACAATGTATTTTCTTTGTATAATGTTCTTTACTTGAAGGAAAAGAAATTTTTAAATAAAACTTTAAAAAGAAATAATATTGCAACAAGCATTTGTAACTGAGAGTCTGAACATCATCCCACCAGTCTATCCCTGCACTTCATTTTCAGTGGAAGAAAATGACTAAAGAACAACAGAGAGACATTTTCACAACCTATTTCAATAAAGAGGAAAATTGTGCTTTCTTAAATTGATAAGAATTAAGAATACTTTATTATAAATATATGATTTTTTAAACTGTTTGGTTGACTCAAGTTAATCTGTTTTCCTTTGGGCCAGAACAGGAATAGAAGGCATTAGGAAGATGCCTAAGTCTCTCCCTTGGTGGCCAGGCAATAGTTGTGTGGACTTGGTTTTGTGGAGTCGAGAACTTTAGGTCTATAAAGTCACTCCCTCTTTGTGATTCAGTTTTTCAAAAGTCTTTGTTTCCATCCCTTTTTTCACAATGTAGAAATTATAAATCAAAGGTCTTTTTTGTTAATGTAAAGTGTATTTATTTAAAATAAATACAAAATAAACTATAAGTCCGTCTTTGTTAAAAAAAATATTTCAATTCAGAAGATTATGGTCTTCTCATTCCCCAAGGAGGCAGAAGGCCATTTTGCTTGGAGAGTTAGCCTGCAAAGCAAAAGTGTTTAGTGAACTCTTGAGCAGAGTTTGAGCCGCTGGAAACAAGTGACTGCTTGCTGAACATTCAAGGAACAGAGAGCTGGGGAATTACTTGGGTCCCTCTGGAAACTAGAAGTTTTCCCTAGCACAACACAGTCCTTTCCAAATCCCTAAGGTGGGATCTATATTGCATTCACATCCCCAATCAATTGTGTACCCTACCAAAACTTATCTGGGGGTCAGAGAACAGAATAGACACTAGATTAGACAGAGGTTACAAAATGGTGACACACAAGTCTTTAATCCTATCCCTTTGGAGGCAGAGGTCAAGGCCAAAGAGGGGACAGCCAGGCATGGTGAGACACACCTTTAATCCCAGCACTTGAGATCACATGTCCTGCTTGGGAAAGACACACACCCAGAAAGTGACATCAGGCAGCAGAGAGTTATAAGAATGAGGAACTAGAGGCGGTTCAGCTGAGATCCATTGGGTCAGGATTCAAATCTTTCACTGTCTGAAGATTTGTGTAAATAGGATTCAATCAGGTGAGTGGAAGTGAGGTTGGCTGTGGCTTGTCCTAATCCTCTGATCTCTCAGTTCTTCACCCAAATACCTGGTTGGGAGTTTTTTTTTTTTTTATTTTTTATTTTTGTTTTGTTTTTTTGAGACAGGGTTTCTCTGTGTACTTTTGTTGCCTTTTCTGGAACTCACTCTGTAGCCCAGGCTGGCCTCAAACTCACAGAGATCCTCCTGACTCTGTCTAAGCAGTGTACCACCACCTCCTGGTCCTTCTTAGATACCTATTCCAGGGCAGTAGGCAAGAGCAAAATGTCCAACAAGGCAGTTGGGCCTGGAGGCTGCAGAATGAGATCAGAAAGCCAACAGTCCACTAAGCCTGCTTATAACCACCATCTGGCCTGGAGGAGGACTCTACAAGTGGTTGTGAGTTCCTTGCTAACAGAGGAGGGATTTGAGAGGACTGAGAAAGCATCTGTGGAAACATTGACAGAGATGCTACAAAGCTACATTTCAGAAGTCCGGAGTAGTGCCAAGTCTTACTGCGAGCACACAGCCAGGACCCAGCCCACACTGTGGGATGTCCTGGTCACACTGGTTGAAATGGGGTTTAACGTGGACACTCTTCCTGCTTATGCAAAATTGTCTCAGAGGATGGTCATCACTGCACCTCTGGTGACCAATCAGCCAGTGACAGCCAAGGCCCTCCCTGCAGGACAGAACAGACCCCACCCACCACACATCCCTAGCCATTTTCCTGAGTTTCCAGATCCCCGCACCTACATCAAAACCCCCACATACTTTGAACCAGTGTCTGACTATCAGGTCCTGAGAGAGAAGGCTGCATCTCAGAGGCGAGATGTGGAGCAAGCACTCACCTGCTTCCTGGCCAAGACAGGCAAGACCCAGTCTTTTCAAGGATGATGTCAGCACTTTCCCCTTGATAGCTGCCATACCTTTCCCCATCCCCTGCCTCAGAGCCTTGCTTCCCCCTGAGCAGGAGATCCAGCAGATGGAGGAGTCTGACACAGAGAACATCACTCTTCCTATCAGCACCAAGAATTTTGAAGCTGAGAAGGAGAATTCCTCCTTGTCTGGCAGCTGGAACAGTGAGGGGAGCATCATGGATAACCCCTATCTGCGGCCTGTGAAGAAGCCCAAGATCTGCAGGAAGTCCCTCTGCTGAGCTGAGATGGAAACTGCCCTGGAAGGGGGAAGACACTGGTTTCCTGGGGGGTGAAACCAGACAGAAGTCAGTGAGGTCCTTTTGGCCCTGCCCTTGCTGGATCATTTTAGTAGCAGCCTTTTATGAAGACAACCTGTTTTGCCCATAGGCCAGGTGACTACTAGTGACTTCCTTGATTCAATCACAGGACTTGATTCCTTTGAAACCTGAAGGGTCATGGAAGGCAGCAGGAAGAAAATGGTTGGCTGCCCTGTGCCCTGCTGCGAAGACTACTGCCAAGTATATCTTCCAGGCCACCCGGATCCCACTGGATCAACCACAAGAATCATGACATTGGTTTATCAGCCCAGAATCTCATTCTCACTTCTCTCTGCACCTGGGCCCCACGGTTCCTGCTGAGCTGATGACTTTGTATCCCTCATCATGTTAGAAACAAGCTTCAGTGCAAGTTTGATCTGGGTTTTGTAGGAGCTAGGAGTCCATGTGTTAATAAAGATGTCAACAGCCATCAGAGCAGCCTTGAATCTCTGACCAGCATTTGATTAGAGCTGACTGCAGAGGGGATCATACCTCTTGGAATATTTGAATCGGAACACCCTTCTGGGGAACTTCTGGGAATGATGGTCTGACCAGAGCCTGAAATATAGTTAGTTCTCCCAGTGCTTGGTAGAGGAGCCATAGATTATAAGCACCAGGAAGCGGGCTTAGTAGGTGGGGGTGGGAATTGTCTGGAGGTCTAGGCTTAGCTGAGAAATATAAATGGTGGTGGACAGGCACATTCCCAGTCACCGGAGGGAGTCTACTGAGAGGGTGTGGCTGAATCCATGCATTTGTCAAGAAGCAAGTCTGAATTTGCCCATCTCCACCTCCCTGGAGAGAAATGCCTTCCCTCAGTTTCCCCACTAAATCATGAATCGTGCCTCAAGGAAGATACTGGGCAAGCTGGCTTGTTTGAAAAGAGGGATTGAAAAACCAAACCCAAGGACGAGTCGTGGGGACAGGTGGAAACTGACATCCGGAGGATCAGTCCTTCCTTGGATTGGAAGGCTGAGCCAGTGTTTAATTTTTCCCTCCATACTCAACCTTGGCAGCAGCTTCTCCTCATCCTCATTTTACTCTCGCACAACACTGCCATGTGTGTTTTGGAGACAGGATCTCCTTCTGTAGCCCAGGCTATCCCAGAAGTCACTGTGTATCCCAGGCTCAGTGATTCTCCTGCCTTGTGCGTGAATAGAGGTGTGAGAGTCCATGCCTGGCAGGGAGGTTCAACCTTCCTTGCTACTCTCTGGAGTCTTTGGTCCCGTACCTGGAGGAAAGCAGCTCTTTGTCTGGAACCCGAGGAAGGCCTAGGAATGGTGAGAAAGTGAGCTTCCTTGGCTCTGGACCAGACAGGAGTGTTCTCATGGTGACTCACAACTGCCAGGTCAGAACATGAAGAATATCTGTGTGGATTCGAAGAACTTGTGATATACTTGACAACTCATGTTCCAATCAATTGATATCCAGTCGCCAGGTCAGACAGGAGGTAGCACACCTTGGTGTCCCCAATGCTTCTTGTCAGCACGTCTGTCCTTCTGCACAATTATCATGGTCTGAGAGAGACACCTGTTGAGCATGTTGTTCAAGGTGGAGTGGGAGTGGCCTGCTGCTGCCCCTGACCTCAGAACTGAACCACTGTGATTTCTGTTAGAGATGCTGGGACAGTGACCTGAATCGTGTTGTGTTGACATATAGAATACTCAATGTATATCTATATATTTCTATTTTTTATAAGTTTGGAGAATCTTATTAGAGGCAATAATGAAGACTAATTTATGAAAATAAAAGATTCATCATGTTACAGAGAGGGTACATTCTTTCTGATTTATTTTCTAACTCCCTTCTTCCCCTCACCCCAAGTACAAAAGGACACATGGTCTGAAAGGACGGAATTTGGCATGGTGCTCTGTCAGATCTGTAAGGCTAAAAGAACTGATCCTAGGAGGGCATACGCATTGTCCAATTTTGAAGGTCAGAAGAATTCCATAGAAAGAAGAATCTGAGAAGAGTGAGCCAACTGGATGCTGGATGTCAATTTAACTGGCCTCCCCTAAAGCAGTTCCTAGAGCCTTTTAATGCCAGGTACTCAGTACACTCAAGTCTGTTCTGTTCCCATCTCATGCAAATAGACTGAAGACAGATTCATTTAACCTCTACTAGCAAAGACACTTCACTAATACATTCTCTTTCAGGACGATGGGAATTTCAGAAGCTTCTTACATGGTTAAGAAACTTGCCTTGAAGATGCCCAAGGGATACTGGTTCCCACATCCCACACATCTAAATAGTTCCACTAGATCTGTACAGTAAAGGATGTGTTTACACACTGTAGCTGTATGTTAATACAGAACTGAAACACTGAAGCCAAGTCATCCTTGGCAAATGATTCAATGATGGAGTCTGGGCTGTTTCTGCAGAGAGAAGGAGAGGCCATCTGAAACTGTCACATGCTATTCATGTGATACATCTGAAAAACACTAACTAGTCCATGTTACACATTGACCTATGTGAGCAGAAACTCATTCTCAGGATTTCCATTTCTCAAAAAGAGGCCTCTTCCCTCCCCAACTTACTCCCCAAGTAAAGCAGGCACAGACACCATTTTTATAAATACTGGAGCACACACTCTGGCCCACATGAAGGCTCCCTGTGCAGGCAATCTCATCACCACGGATTCTATGATGAGGTGCTTTCTTGGATCCATTTGGATGTTGCCAAGCCTGGCCAGAAGATTATGGTGTCCTAGAGAAGGCTCCTATGAAGAATGCCAACTAGCTTCTGTTCAGGTGAGATCTCTGCCTCAGCCCCTCTCCCCACTCTCTGTCTCCAAAACCTGCCACATCTCAGAAAACCTCTTGCAGACATTCTCAAGACCACACCTACAAGTTAAACTGCTCCTTGGAGAAATAGCCATGTAGGTTTTCAGTCGTTTCTCAGTCTCCTCAGGACAAAAAAGTCATCCAGGAACCTTTTACCCATTAAACCTTGACTTATAATTCTTTTTTGTTTTGTTTTTGAGAGAGTTTCTCTCTGTAAGCTTTGGAGCCTGTCCTAGAACTCATTCTGCAGACCAGACTGGCCTCTAACTCAGAAAGCTGTCTGGCTTTGTCTCCCCAGCGCCGGGTTTAAGGGCATGCACCACCACCAACACCCAGCATTCTTAATTCGGTTGGGTTTGTGTACTGCACCAGTGGAAATGTAGAAAGACTTAATATCGGGGTAGAGAAACCTTTCAGCTTGCACCTTAGCACATACAACACAAGCTCCATCCCAACAGTCCACCATACCACATCAGGTTCAGTCTGCCTGGTTTCACAGCAATAAGTCATTATGAGGAGGCATTAAGACCAAGGCCAAACATGGATGAGGAAAGATCAGAGAATTGCAAACACTAGGTAGAGATTGAGCTATCATTCCATCAGGCTGAGTGTTGTGCCTAGATCGAGACCCCCAAAGACACCTCCAAAGATGAGCATACTGGAATGCACAAGCCAGCTTTAATTCAGTATATTTGGGAGCAATACAAGCCTAGGCAGGGACTTCATCCAACACATCTAATGCAGTGGAGGCTGGAGAAATTGACCAGCCTGAATTGTGCACAACTTTAAAAGCAAAAACCACAAGATTCAAATAACAGGGGAGTTCTATACATGTACATACCTGATTGGCTCCTTTCTAGGGACTTTCCAGAAAGGTGGTATAATCTACTCAAAGAGAGTTGGATCTCATCACCTTTATTCATTGGCTCCCCTCAGGTGGGGACATTCTATGGTTAAACAATCATCATGGAGGTCAGGTTTGGGCCATTCCATGGTCACACAGTCACCATCACATGATTAATTTGTTATCTTGTCAAAATGGAGGAGCTTTGGTCTCACATGTCACCCTTCTCATGTCACTAATGGAACCCAATCATGGGTTATGAACAGTTAGCTAGTAAGTATCCCTCTCTAATGATGGCCAAGTATAGTTGGCCATCTTGTCTCTATGTCATTGAGGTTTTTTGTTTTGTTTTGTTTTGTTTTGTTTTTGTTTGTTTGTTTTTTTTTACCCAGCATTTCAGCCTTTTCTGAACAGGAAACATGAGACAAGGTATTCTCTTCTGCTACTGCTTTAAGCTGGCATTGGGGCACCATTGTCAGGGTCCCAAAAGGAATAAAGGCTGTTCAAAGGTGGGCAATTGGGCATTTGTCAGAAGCATGTGTCTCACTGACCCTGTAGAGAGAGGGAACAATCACGTTGGGTGGGCTGATCCACATCGGATTTCAGCAAGTCCAGAGCTCATAGTCATCTGGAGCAGTAGAGTCAGAAACTGAAAGTACGAGGTGTCTGCCAGCCAAGTGGAAATCTGTTGAGACAAACTTAAACTAGGAAGAGAAGTTAAAATTTAGGAAGTTATTTGGAACACTTAGGCCCATATCCTTAGTAATCGGAAAGAGCAAGAGTCCCAAGACCAGGAGGTAGAAAATATTATCCTTAGGAATCAGCTGTACTTATCTGGGGTCTTTCTGACCGATCTGAATTGGATCCAGGTTTTATGACTCTTTTAATCCTCTGATGCCTACACAAAATATTTTACAAAATGACATAAAAATTTCAATACATTAGTATTACCTATCTGTCCTGAAATCCATAACATAGGCAAAGAAGGTAATGGGTATCTGTAAAACAGCAGGAGCGGACTCATACATTTGAGCTCCAACAAGAACTACAGATTTTGGTTAAAGTACGAAACATTTTCCTTCTATCCAGAGAACCAGGAATAAATTGGGCAGAGATTAGGGGCCTGATGAGAAGTCCTTTTAGGTTTATATTTAGATGAAATCTAAAATAAGTCTAAAATGCTGGGCTTGTGGCTGAACAGTCAGTAGTCATTGCTCTACCAGCTTATCAGAACTCTACTAAATGTAAATGTTAAGCTCTAAAATGTTGTATCTTAGAACAAGAGAACAATCTGAACC